ATAAATCTGATGATTTGAGTGGACCTGGAAGAACTATGCAGATTATTTTTTTTTTTTTTTTTTCCATACGTTTTCCAAATCAGGATTGAAGCTCATTCAGATGGGTGCTGAGACCCATCCTCTGCTGAGCCACTTTTTGCTGCATTTGCATCCCCATCAGAGCTGAGCGCAGGCAGCCCATAGAAAAGGATGCAAACGCAGTGGCTGCTTGCGGAAATGGTCACGTATTAAAATATAAAATGCATTTGGATTCGTGCACCTTCTCCTGGTTGTATGTAAAATTTTGACTTGCGACTGTGTCCGTGCACCTGCTGTGTCTGCGCAACTTCTATGGCTGCCTTGAGCACAGCTCCGAGGTGGATGCACACACAGCAAAAAGTGGCTTCGTACAGACAATGGGTCACCGTGCCCAGCTGAATGAGTCCTCAAAGCCAGAGACAGGCAACTAATATCCTCATTTTCAAGGATGTTCGCAATGACGGCTCATATATTTCTCTGAAATGAAAGGTTTACTTGTGTGAGGTTTTTGCCAACTTAAAAAAACAGAGCTTCTCCTTTACAGGATTCTCATGTTTTTTACACGTAACTGTCTGTTTGTGTACACATTGTCGCCTCTACACTTCACCTCCCCTTTACTTTTGTGAAATGGGTACCCATGGACATAGCTGAGAGAGCACAATTGGAAGTAGTGCTAAGCAGAAAGCAGAACTTAATACAAGCACAAAAGTTGTTGAAAAAATGGTTCATTAGTAGTGTTCAGAAAGAGAGCGCCTAACATTGGATCCTGGTGACAGCATAAGAACTCTTTCTGAATGCAATTGGTGAATGCATATTGCGGAAAAAGATTTTCAGTGTCATGAACTCTTATGGTTCATAAAGTTGTTTGAGCCTTCAGCTTTCTAGTTCCGTCATCTCACATTCATTGTGGCTTTTACGAAGTATACATTTTATATGTAATGACTACCATTACGATTTTAAAGTGGTTGTAAAGGCTCAAGGTTTTTTTTACCTTTTTTATGTATGAAGGTAAAAACCTTCTGTGCGCAGCATTCCACCCCCCAGTTACTCATGCTCCCTCTCGATCCACCGATGTACACTGGAGTCTTGGCTATCCTGGGATTCCCTATCCTCATTGGCTGAGACAGCAGCGGGAGCCATTGAGCACAGCCAGTGAGCACTAGAACAGATCACAAAGGCCTACAAACCAACCTTCGTATTAGACACTGTTTGGGCTACTATATGAACATCTGCCTACAATCTTCAGACCCTCTCGGATCTGAGAAAATCTTCACTGAAATCCATGGGTTTCTTAGTGTAGACCTATGTTCTTCCATCAAAGCAGCGCAGGTCAGAGTTCTTGGGCTTCGTTAAAGCTCCTCTTGTAGGCTGAAATGGCTAATCAGCAGGAATCTGTTGAAATGGGCAGATCCCTGCTGCTTAGCACAAGTCTGTCCACAAAGGAGTTTCCAAAGTCTTTTTTAATAAAGGTGGAAAACCTCCTGCGTGGCAGGTATAGACCATTCCCTCTTCTTTGTTGCAGGTCAGTGAGAACATGAGCTCAGCAGTTATTTGCTATTAATCCTTGCTCTATTTTCTGAATTTTTGTTTCAAACTTGTCCTGCAAAGAGGTCCCATTTACCACTAATCTCTGTAGTTTGTAAAATCATAGTAGAAAAGGTGCCTAAAATATGATCCAAATCATAATGATTAATCAAGACCGTTTTTTTTTTTCTTTAACCTGACACACTGCTTTTTTTCCAGCTACCCTTTACTAGCGTCATGCCCCCCCCCCCCCCCCCCCCATTGGCTGCCAGAAGCTATGTCTATGGTAGCCTATTGATGAGTCCATTTTTTTTTTTTTTTTTCCGTTCAATTAGCAGGTTGGTGGGGTAAAAAAAAAAAACCTGATTCCATTCCCCCCTATCAATACACACTGACAGAAAGGAGACATCTCTGTTGTCAGAATACACAGATCACGACTGCAGGCAATAGCCTGCAACACTGATCGAGCAACAAAAATCTGACTGGGCCGTTGTACAAAAGTCGATTAGTAGATGGACTTCTGTACAACCTCCTTGCCTATACTTGGAATGTGAAAGTCAGCCAGTAACTGCTGAACTGGCTGAATTTCAATTCTTGTATGGATGTGGGAGACTGACTCGCTTCCCTTCCAGTTACACAAGAGCAATGGTGATTGACTGCTCAGGTATTGGCTGGCCCTGTCATAGGGGATTGAGTCTTTAATCCTGCACAAGTTGCAAGTCTCCAAGCTTGCACCGGACTTCTCTCTCCACTCTAGAAATGTGCGGTAAGAGAGTGAAAGGATGGGGAGTACATGGCCTCACTGGGCAAAAGGGAGGTGGCTTGACAAAAGCACCATTTCCTAATGTAAGTTACAAGGGTTAGTTAAAAAAAAATGGAAACACTACGATTTGCAGGTGTGAAAGTGACTACGTTTAACGTTTGAAATTAGATGTAACATTCTTTTAGTTTACGCTGTGTGATGAGACACCTAGCTAACAGGGTAGAAACCTTGCTTTCATCATTCACTGCATACACTGCTAGTAATGTGAAGTCCTGTTAGAGCTTACTGAGCTTCAAAGAGGAGAAATTGTTGGTGCCCGCTTAGCTGGTTCCTCTGTGACGGAGGTTGCCAATTTATTTGCAGTGTTGCGAGGTACAGCATCAAAGGTTATGACGGCATATACTGTTTCCAGGTAAACGTTGGATACGCATAAGTGCAATCGACATGGTCCGCTGACCAAAAGAGATAAAATGACATTGCACAGGATTGTGGCCCAGAATAAAAGAAAACTGCTGCAGAAGTGACTGCAGAGCTCATTCTGTCTTCACAGGACTGAAAACTGTCCTTTTATCTCTTCCGGTCATTTGACTGTGTTAATTGCGTTTATGCTTTTCCCATGACGTTTTACCAGAAAATGCATATGCCGTCATAACCTTTGATCCTGTACCTCACGACACGGCAAATAATTGGCAACTTCAGTCACAGTTTTCCCTCTTTGAAGCTCAGTAAGTTCTGATATGACTCTATAGTAATACCCTGTTTCCCCGAAAATAAGACCTAGTACTATTTTTGGGAATTGCTAAAGTACAAGAGTTACCCCAAAAATAAGACCTAGTTGTGATCAGCTTCTTTTTTGAGCCGGAATGTGGAGGAACGCCCTTCCGCCACCTCTGGCACTGGCTCTGTGCACACCAATAGCGTGGCTTTCATGTTTGCAAGTGACAGTCTTTCTTGTAAGTGACAGCACCATCTGCTTCCACAGAACCTCCCTTCCTCTGTACTCCCTGCGGGACGGAAGGAATAGATATCTGTGGGCGCAGTGTGTTTAGGGGCGGGGCTTCTCATCTTGCAGCCTAATGCATGGAAGCCGATGCCCCATGGGTGATCACCGGCCAGTGGGGAAGAGGCGGAGCGGTGAGTAAGTGCGCTTGGTGCACTGTTTGGGATGATAGGATCCGAAATGGGAGTTACTATAGAGAGGGGGCCAGCTGCTGGCGGCTGTTTTGCAAAGCTAGCTAACCATATGAGGGCAGTGGAGGGGGAAGGGCTCTGCACCCCCCGGCCACAGCTCGACTCTGCACCCTATCTGAAACTCACCTGTCCATGCACCTCTGCAACACCTGACTGTAGCTCACAGCTGTGATCAGCTGGCCCCCTCTATAGTAACCCTCATCCACAACTGCCTGCAGCTCATCTCTGCACCCCCTGTCCACACCTGGACATTAAAAAAAATATGGCTTGTGGTGGGTTTTTTTTTTTTTTTTTTTTTTTTTGAGCCAAAAAAAAAAAAAAACTATAAGACTGTCTTATATTTGGGGAAACACGTAGCAGTGCATGATGAAAGTGAGGCTTCCCACCTGTTAGCTAGTGTCTCATCACACAGCAGAATCGAAAAGGAGTGTTGCATCCCTTCCACTTTCAACGCAAAACGTCACTTTCACACCAGCTAGTCATGTAGTGTTTCCATTTTTTTGTCCAACACCTACAATGTGCTTCAGAGGTATTTTGCAAAATGAGAAAAAGTAGTACAAAGTGATTTTAAAATGATACTCTGTGCAAACACCTGGCAGTTCTTCAGCGTATCTAAATGTAAAAATCTCACTTCTACAACCTAATTTACCTGCACATCTGTCACTCTCCTCCATGTAAATTGCAGCTACTCATGCCAGTGTACTACCTTGTTGTGGCGCTGCAGCATGTTGGCTTCTTCCCTTCTCCCAGTTCAGAGTTACAGTAACTTTTTTTTAAACAATACCATAGTTAATGTCTACAACAACTCATGTAGGAATGCTGTAAAATGCAGAACATGCGGGTTTTACATTGGTAAACAGAGCTGAAAAATTTGCTGACTCGTGTAGACCGTTGGGTAATAATTGTCATTAATGTAGTGTAAAACCTGCTGTTAGCTTTGTGTTTGACTACACTGCTGAAAAAAAAAAAAGCGCTTGGATACTGTGTCCAGAGTGCGCCTTATGTCCCTTTTTTTTTTTTTGGCATAAGTGTATTGTAAAAATGTCCCCTTCTGTGTTCCATATGTAGGCTAATATTTACACACACTCTTGCTTAATTTTTAAACTGCACAGATAATCTGCTGGTACTTTAAATGAATTGTGCTGATTTGCACAAATTGTAAATGAAAGGTCATCTAAAAATCTAGGAATATATGTGCATTTTATTAATACAGATCTTTGCTGTCTCAAACTGTGAATACATTTTAATGAATGCACTCCGTTCTTTAAAGTCACTTGGTCTGACCCCTGTTTGTCTCAAGGTAACTTTAAACAGGAAGTGTTACAGTGGAGCTGATTGATTATCTCATCTGCCAATGGTAGCTGAGCAGTGTCCTCAAATAACAAGCAGCAGCAAATAGGGCAGGAGGAAAGGCGGGTGTTGGTGTCATGTAGCAAGCTAGATTGAATGCCTTTGACTGTTAAAGTGGAAGGAGGCTGCAGGATTTTTCATTGGAGACTTGGGAGTTTTTTACATAGACAGGGGTCAGCTGAAAGACAAAGAAAAATGGCGAGGAGTTTGCAAGGAGAGCAGGTTCTGTCTGTTGGGTTTGAGAAAAGGATATTGCACAGTATCTTCCTTGCATGTCCTCATGCCTTTGTCCTTTTTTCTCTTTCCCGAGAGGGGGGAGGGCTAGTGAGAGTGAAGCTGAAGGGGAAAAATATAAGTGCTTGAGCTGTGCCGTGGTCTTGTGAAATGAGAATGTCCTGAAATTTTGCAGTGTCGATGGTAAGTTCTGTTTTTGTATTTTTGTGCATAAAAGTAAATACTGCATGCTGTTTTTCCTCTTTACTCTGAGAAATTCAAGTTTGTACTGTCTAAGAAAATGGCCCCTTGCATTCCTGGCATACCTTCTGCTGCACCTCTTGTACATTAGTGTGTGGATTTTCTTTTTTTTTTTTCCATTTTACACTTAGGTTGATATGCAGAGGTATGAAACCTGTACAAAGTTTACTTTATAATTTTCAAGATGAGGCAGTGCATTAAAATATTATTCAGAATTTTATTTGGGTAAGGTCATGTGAAATGCAAGTGTGAGTGAATGTTTGTGTGTTAACATACGTATATGTACACACACAATCTGAGTACACATTGGTGCATCCTGTGGATTTGGGAATTTTTTTTCAATATTCTGAGAATGCACCATCCATTTAATTGGGCAAAATTACTTTTGCAAAATTTGCTTTTGCATGAAATCTTATGCTTAAGACATGGGTGTCCTTTCCAGGAAAATTCATACACAACGTGCCTTTGAGTAATTCCTGATATACAGAACAGCTGTTACTTTAGCTTCGAATGCCAGTGCCATATAATTCCAGTGAAAGACACTTTTTATGGAAAATGCTTATAAATTAAGGGGTTAATGGTCTGTAAAGTCAATGGAACATGACATTACCGATTAATTTTGGTGAGGGATTTTTTTTTTTTTCTTGCCCTTGCGCTTTGCAGGTAAGCTTGTTGTCTGTCGCTTCTAGGCGCTCAATAATGCCCTTCAGTAGTTTACAATTGTGCTTCTAATAGTCAGCCAGTAACTGCACTAGCATGTTTGCTAGTTTATAGAGTCTTGACTTGATGCTAGTTTAGATTTTCGAATAAGGTATGAAGGTCATTGGAATGTTTGATGTGCAGCAACACATTCCAACCCAGACACAAGGAACTCTGCAGGCAAGAGCACAGTATTCCAGTCACTATGGCAAGTTTTCTTTACTGATGGCCTTTCTGATTTATGGTTCTTTTTTTTTTTTCTTGCTGCAGTTTTGTTATTTAGCATCATGATATTGAAGATAGGCCTCCTTCAGTTTGCATGACCTTGAAATGCTGCTGCCTTGGAGTTTGGAAATTGAAGGACAAACTTTGTGTAGCTCTACAGAGAGACTAAAAAAGTTGCTTATAAGCTTTCTTGTATAGTGTGTGTCAGTCAATAAATTGTACATTTGTTTTTCTTTTCTGCGGTATCTTAAACATTTTTTTTACTTTGTATAAACATTAAAACACAGGTATACGTTTCTTGAATGTCAAAATAGGTATTAATTGGGTGAGAACACACCTTAAAACCACAGTTTTCCTTATTGTTTGAATTGGTTGTTTTTAGAAATAAAATTATGCAGGTTTTAATGAAATTTTAATAACCTAGTGCAATGTACAGAAAGGATGAGTACACTTTTCAGAGTAAGCTATTGGGACTTCATAACTATAAATCATGACTTCTACTAAGAACATTTTCCATATATATATTTTTGCTACATCGTAATCAGTGCATGAAATCAAAAATGCTGCTGTGAATTCTGTGAAATTAAAATGGAAGTCTATGGGGCCAAGTTGCGTTGGTGTTGCACAAAAGTAGTGCAGGAACTACAGTGTTCAAAAAAAATTAAAGGAACATTTTGAAAGCACATCAGATCTCAATGGGGAAAAGTATCATGCTGGATAGCTATACTGATGTGGACTGGGTAATGTGTTAGGAGCATAAGGGATGCCCCATCATTTATTGGAAATGAAAATTATCAACCTACAGTGGACTAAAATCAAAGTGAAAAAATGATACAGCAGGCTAGTCCATTTTGTTAAAATTTCATTACAGCAACTCAAAATAGTACTTTAGTAGTTTGTATGGCCCCCACGTGCTTGTATGCATGCCTGACAATGTTTGGGCATGCTCCTAATGGGACGACGGATGGTACCCTGGGGTATTTCCTCACAGATCTAGACCAGGGCATCACTGAGCTCCTGGACAGTCTGACGTACAACCTGGTAGTGTCAGATGGACCGAAACATGATATTGGAGTTAAGTCAGGCGAGCATGGGGGCCATTCAATGATATCAATTCCTTCATCCTCCAGGAACTGCCTGCATACTCTCGCCACATGGGATTGGGCATTGTCATGCACCAGGAGGAACCCAGGACCCACTGCACCAGCGTAGAGTATGACAAATGGTCCAAAGATTTCATCCTGATACCTAATAGCAGTCAGGGTGCCATTGTCTAGCACATGGGTGTCAAACTGCCCAGACCATCATTGACCCACCACCAAAACGGTCATGCTGAATGATGTTACAGGCAGCATAACGTTTTCCACAGCTTCTACAGACCCTTTCATGTCTGTCACATGTGCTCAGGGTGAACCTGCTCTCATCTGTGAAAGCACAGGGCGCCAGTGGCGGATCTGCCAATTCTGGTGTTCAAAGGCAAATGCCAATCGAGCTCTGTGGTGCCGGGCAGTGAGCACAGGGCCCATTAGGCCACCCTCATGAAGTCTATTTCTGATTGTTTTGTCAGAGACATTCACACCAGTGGCCTGCTGGAGGTCATTTTGTGGGGCTCTGGCAGTGCTCATCCTGTTCCTCCTTGCACAATGGAACAGATACCGGTCCTACTGATGGGTTAAGAACTTTCTATGACCCTGTCCAGCTCTCCTAGAGTAACTGCCTGTCTCCTGGAATCCCCACCATTTTCTTGATACTGTGCTGGGAGACACAGAAAACCTTCTGGCAATGGCACATATTGATGTGCCATCTTGGAGGACTGCCTCTGCAACCCCTGTAAGATTCAGGTGTTGCCTAATGCCTCCAGTTGTGACACTGACCCTAGCCAAATGCAAAACTATTGAAAAACAGTCAGAAAAGATGAGCAGGGAAAAAAGTCAGTGGCCTGCACCTGTAAAACTATTCCTGACTTGGGGGTAGGCTCATTGTTGCCCATCTTGCACCTATTGTTAATTTGAGTAACACTAAACGGGGATGTGCAAATCATATCGCCCGACGTCTGGGACATGCAGTTAGGTGTTTTTTTTTTTTTTTTTTTGTTTTGTTTTTTTTTTTCTCCTTTAGCCCTGCTGTGGGCAAGCAGCAGGGCTCACCGGTCAGGTGGAAGCGTTGCTTCCACACAGCCCACAGTGCCAGCCTCTCCCCCCTGCCTGCAATATGTCCCCGTCTCCGCTTGCCCATCTGCGGGCCCAGGACTGGTGCAGTGGGTGCTGGCGGGATGTGGTATAGGGTAGGGAGGAGAGCACACACCAGCTCCCCTCCCCTACTTGCCCTGACCCGGAAGTGATGTCACATCACTTCCGGATAAGGACAAGAAGGGGAGGGGAGCAGATGTGTCCCTGTTTGACAGATTCTCGGTCATTGAGGCTGAGAAAGAATGTAATGCGATGTGCACTGCATTACATTCAGGGGAGCACAAGGGAGATATCCATGGTCTTTTTGTGATTACTTTTTTTTTTTTTTTTAAATGGAAGTTACACCCAAGCATATTTTATTTATTACGGGTACTTATATAGCACCGTCAATTTACGCAGCACTTTACATATATATTGTGTTTTCACATCAGTCCCTAACCCTCAAGGGACGTACAATCTCTAAGGTCTCTAACTTACATTCATACACTAGGGCCAATTTAGACCAGATCCAATTCAACTACCAGCATGTCTTTGGAGTGTGGCAGTAAAGCGGAGTACCCAGAAGAAACCCACGCAAGCACAGGGAAAAACATGCAAACTCCAGTCAGGTGGTGCCGTGGTTGGGATTCGATCCAACGACCCTAGTACTGCCAGCCGGAAGTGCTAACCATTTATCCACTGTGCTGCCCATATAAACACCCCCCCCCCCATTTTTCAAGGCCCCCACATATGTATGGATGCAAAAGCATGCGCTGGGGCGCCTACACATGCAAACATCGATTGTGATGCACATGTTGCATATCGCCGCACACGCCAGAGTGAGCACAATAATTCCAGCACCAGTCCTCCTTTGTAACACTAAACTGATGACATATAAGGGGCTTTAAAAATGCCACCTATAGAAAATATAGGGTACTAAAGTTTGCTGGTGTTTCACGAGTGCACACAAATTTAAGGTTTGGCATGTTGGATATCTATGTACTCGCTACAACCTTGTCTTATATTTCACAAAAAATAGGATAATTTATTGCTTTTTGTGCCCTAAAATTAACTGAAATTTTTGCATTTCCTAGACCTTTGTGATTAATATTGTGTGACATAAAAAAATTTAAACTACCTCTATTTTATTCTCTAGGATCTCTGATTTCAGAAATTATATAATGTTGGGGGTTTTGTTTCATCCATAGGCCTTAAATTATTTTTTAAACATGTGCAAAAGACGGCTGTGGCAGCAAAATGGATAAAGGATGAGCCTGACACTCCCCTTTTTTGACAAGCACCCAATCGATGTTCATTACACTGCAAGGTCTCTCTTCTCCACGCTATTCCCTGGGTGCAGTGCTGGAGACAGGGAGGGGAGGAGGAGGTAAACAGCACAATGTTAAAAATATTAAACTTTTAAGTCGCCATAAAGCCCCAGACATTACATAAAGCAGATTTAAAAACTCAAAAAAAACAGAGTTAGTGAGCGCTTGAATAGACAAACAGCAGCTGTACACCAAAAAAGGCACCATATACAACCTTCAGAGATGGGGGAGGTGCAGCGCTATACAAACAGACAATAATGAAATCAAGAATCAAATTCATATAATAGACAGTGACTGTGTGCTAATAAAATAAAGCCACTGGATGGTGGCTATAAAGTGAAAGAAGTGCAAAATAAATAAGAGTCCAATGAAGGGTTGCTCTTAAGATCCGAGATGATCCTCAGACGTCCAATGATTGGTACCGCAGGGTGATAAGTAATGTAAAGATTGCGCACTCACCAGGTACGCAATCTTTATGCGCATTTGTATATACTGTCACTGGACCTCTGGTGTCATCAGACTG